CTGCTGCAAGAACGCTTCTTAGGGCTGTCCTGTTGCCCCAGCTTGTGCAGAAAGGGGAATTCTTGGCTGCTTCTCATCATCTATTGCCTTACAGAGTGACAATGCATATGAGCAGCCAATGCTGTGAACCCCTGAGGGGGAGGATTCTGGGAAAACAAAAGGCACAGATGCTTCAGACTTTGGGAAAAGGCCATCACTTGGGCAGATTTAAAAAAAAAAAAAAATTGTCACTTCAGAGCATACCAGGGAATTGTGACCAACTGTTTTTTTGCCTTTGCAGGTGAGAAGCTAAGGCTTGAGGTCAAGTGTGGTAATCCCAGTTCAGGAGGATGGTCCTACTCAATGAAGAAATCGTCCCCCTCTGGGTTTCTGACCTTAGGCTGGATCCATGAATGCAAATGTGACTCCTTGAGGGCTCTTCCTGTCTGTCTTCTTGTCATTTTAGAAAAAAAACACAATTCTGTCTGTGAGCAGAATAAATCTAATTTAGATTACCCGTCTCCCCCTGCATGTGGTTCTCAGCACATTTGACTGCTAGTGTTCCATTACTGGGTCATGAGCATTTCCCAAGGCTTCTACATTTCCCCTCAGCTTTATCGTTGACTGGTTACACCATCTCTGAAATATAAAATAAAATCTGTGCCAGCAACTTTCAAGCATACACCACATTGTTTTGTTCAATATGCTCACCATTTTACATTAAAGCTCGAGTTTACAAAGAACTCAACAGCCTCTTCACACACTTGTGTTAAGAGTAGTTTTTTCCGCCAGCCGGTGCCAGCCCCAAATAACACACAGAGACGCTGTATTAGATATAAATGCTGTTGGCCAGTTGTTTCTTATTGGCTAGCTCTGTCTTAAATATTAACCCATTTCTATTAATCTAAGTATTTCCATGAGGTCTCATCTTACTGGAGAGAGGGCCTGGACCTCTGTTCTCCCTCGTCTCTACATGCTGACTCCTCCCTACTACTTCCTCTCTCCTCCTAGTCTCCTAGTCTTGCCTATCTTGCTTTCCTATTGGCCAACAGAGCCTTATTCATTAACCAATACGAGAAACATATTTACAGAATGACATCTCCCATCATACTTGAATTAACTCCATTTGTTCACAGTGCTGGGAAAGGACCTACTGTGAATTCCAATTGTATTCCTTGTGTTTGTAAACAGCTCTGCCTTTGAAAAGGAGTCACCTGTGGGGAGCTCCTTGGCCCTGACTTCCTAGGCAGACAGTGCATGATTGTCTGGACTCACTGAGAAGTCTATGATTTGTTTTACCCTCTCATGCCCACCCAAGCTAGGCAGCCTTTTCATCTAGTACATATTTACATATGAACCACACACACTGCTTCCAGAACCCTTAGTGATTGTGTGCTGCACTAAATACAGTGAGTACATGGGTGATTCTGGATGTTGCAGGGAGGAAAAGGTCTCTATTGTTGAGTCCTTAAAAAGAAAAAAAATAAACCCCGTAAAATATAGTATTAGCTGGTGTAGTGGTTTGAACAGGTATGGCCCCCATAGAGTTATGTGTTTGAAGATTTGGTCACAGGAAGTAGCACTATCAGGAGTTGTTTCACCTTGTTGGAGGAAGTGTGTCACTGTGGGGGTGGGCTTTGAGGTCTTATATGCTCAAGCTAAGCCCAGGGTGGGACAGTTCACTTCCTGTTGCCTGTGGCTCGAGATGTAGAACCCTCAGCTCCCTCTCCAGCACCATGTCTGCCACCATGCTTCCTGTCGTGATGACAATAGACTAAGCCTCTGAAACTGTAAGTCAGCCCCAATGAAATGTTTCCTTTCTAAGGAAACATGGTCCTTAGGCCATGGTCACGGTGTCTCTTCAAAGCAATAGAAACCCTAACTAAGATAGCTGGCTGCTCTGAAAGGCTTCTTTTAAACCCCATATTCTGAAGAACCCAACTTTGTTGGTTTTCTAAGAAAGTTCCTCAAGAAGTGATGGGAATCCTGAGAGGCAGAAGTGAAATCTTCCAGCAGAGACACGGTCTCAGAATGTGGCTTCTTTTCCCTTCCCGTATTCACTCTAATTCACACTAGCGAGAGGCAGCGGTAAGTCAGGCAGGCCCTCTTGTAATTTGTCGATTTTCATGCACTTGGCATTATCACACAAGCCATTGTGGACTACTGTTTCACTGTTCTCCCCCAACTCCCACCATCTCCTGCCCCTTAGTCAGACTGAATACTTTCAGTCGATGAATTGATTTATTATTTTTTCCTTTCTACTCATTACTGCTGTTGAATTACTCTAAGGAATTTTTCACTTTATTTAAAATTTTTGGCTCAAAAATTCTCATTTAATTCCTGTTAATAATCTCTAGACAAATCATCCTCTAACTGTGGCCCATTTAGCGAAGAACTGTAAGCCAGTACCTTGTGCATGCCCCTGGTGGAGGTGTGTGGGGGAGGGAAGGAGAGGGAGGGAGGGAAAGGAGAGAGAGGAGAGGAGGGGAGAGGAGAGGGGAGGAGGGTTGGAGTAAATCTGCTGTCAGGACTCAGCACTGTATTTCCCCGGACAAGCCTGCAGGAGAACGGGCTTGAGCCATTTCCATCCTCGTGTGTCCCAGACATCCCTGGAACTTTCATTGCAGAACTCTAGTTCCTGTCTCAGGCTCCATGTACCTTCTCCGTGTCTTTCTTCCGAGTTTCATAAGAGGACAGCTGTCTTGGCACAGGACTGTCCCATCTACCTGCCTCTTGAATTTGTCTGTTCTTGGAGTCATCGTTTAGGCCGGTGTTTCTCAACCTTCCTAATGCTGTGACCCTTTAATACAGTTCCTCATGTTGTGGCGACCCCCCCCATCATAAAATTATGTTGTTGCTACTGTTACGAATGAATTGTGATATAAGCATCTGATATGAAACCCATGTTGGGGTCGAGACCAACTGGTTGAGGAACATGACTTAGGCACTTCCCTCAAATGGCCCACACGGAGCTGCTATCATGTAGTGCATTTGCATCAGCCCTACCATGTGATGTGCCCAGAACAGGGGTCCAGGTTGGGAAGTGGGAAGGACCCCGCTTCCTCAGCAGGCCTAATTTCCTTATAGCCAGCTAGCAAGGGCCAGCTGGGGCACTGGGGTAGGTGGCTTCGCTGTCCATAGTGCAGGAAGGAGAAAGATGACAGCTTCTTTGAGGAGCTTCAGGGTGCAACTACCAGAAGGGAAGCCAGACTGCAGGGGTGTGGTGTGAGATGGGAAGGAGACAGCAAGATTTCCACGTGTTCAGCCATCTGCACCAGTACACAAAACTGTTCCAAATGGAACAGGATTCGGCCATCTTTTACAAGGTGCTTCCCTCCACTCTATGAACTAGCTCCTGGAGAGTGGTGGGTAGGAGCATCAGAGATGGCGGGGAGGAGCACAGAGACACAGGGGAGTAAAGGGACTGGGCAGCGCTGGCACTCCGGGGAGGACCAGGGGTAACTAAGACTCTTAATGTGCATCTTGGTTCCTGAGCTGTGCACTTTGGGGAGAAGTTGATGATGTTAGTATATTCCCATTGAACAAGAGCCTGCATGTGGCCCTCCGTGTGCAGGGCCCAGTTCCTCCTGAGATGTGCTTCACCCGACAGCTCAGCGGCCTTCTAGTCCCACCACTAGCCCCAGATCTTTTCAGATTTTAGCATTTTATCTCCTCCGCCCCTGTCTTTTAAAAAGATCATAGGTTATTTCCCAGATTAGAGCCCCTGGCTGTCCCAGACAAAACTTACTCTGTACAGGGTACCTGGGTATGACGTACAAAACCCTGCACCCCTAATGCTCAGGAATGCACATAAGATTCCCTGGGACAGTGTCCCCCAAAGCTGACTGTGAGATGGGACCTGAGTGTGGAACCCTGGGAAACCAAGTGGAAAAGGAATGGGTGCTGATGGGGGTCAGGAAACAACAACAACAAATCCTGCCTCCCTTTCATCGACAGGAGGCGGAGGCAAGGGCCTCTGAGATGTCTGGGGACTTGGGGAGACCCCAGATTGAGGAGAATGATGCAGCAGCACCTGAGGGTAAGCTAAGGGTACCCAGGCTTGGGTTGAGCACCTGTGCAGTGAGTGGGGTGGGTCTGTCTTGGGAGCTGAACAAGACCTGTGTTATGGGGGAGGGGGGAAATAGGAAACAAGGCAGGGAGTCACACAAAAGCTCAGCTGGGCTTCGATGGAGGCCCTTCTGTCCCCAGCTCTGGCTGGTGGGATGCCAACCATGTCTAACTGTTTGAGGTTGAAGTTGCCCCTAGATGACAGTGACACCACAACCCAGATTCTACCTCCCCTGGCAAGACAGAATGATTGTGTTCCAGCCCTTGGGGACTGTGGTTTGGATAAGAACGGCCCACATAGGCTCCTGTATTTCAATGCTTGGTCCCCAGTGGACTGTTTGGGAAGGATTGGGAGGTGTGTCATTTGGGGTGGGCTTTAAGGTTTCAAAGGCCCATATCAGTCTCTCTCTCTCTCTCTCTCTCTCTCTCTCGCTGATTCTCCAGCACCATGCCTGCCATCACACTCTCTGCCATGGCGATCATGGACTAACCCTCTGAAACTTTAAGCAAACCCCCAATTAAATGCTTCCTTTCATAAGTCCCCTTAGTCATAGTGTCTTTTTTGCAGCAACGGAGCACTATGACAGGGACTTAACTATCAAAGCTTAAAACAATCCCAAGGGGGGTTTTGATGACATTGCATAGTCAACTAAAAAACAAACAAACAAAAAAAAACAAAACAAAACAAAAAAAAACAAAACAAAAAATGGTGGCGATATCAAGGAGACAGACTCCACTCCCCACTGTACAAACATCTTTTATTTGCGCGTGGCCATCCAGTAAATATTCCATGTTGAACATCACAGACAGCTGCCAGGCTACAAAATAAGATCGGTGTTGACTTTTCAAGATATCAGGGCAATTAGTAAGTGACTGGTAAACAACAGTGAAGTCAAGTTGCACCCCTACCCCCTCCCAACACAACTGAATGGAGAAAAGTTGGATTCAGTTAATTCCCTTTTGGCAATTATTTATTTATGCAGTCATGGGGCTGTGTCTTGTTGGCCTGTTGGGTGAGGAAACCCAGGCATGCAGGCACCCTTGGCAAGGGACTGAGACCCTTCCAGATGGTGATAGGATAGAGAGCCCAGCTTGCAGTGGGAGTATTCACTTGACTTTATACTTTTCTTCTCACAAGGCCTGTTCTTAGAAAAATGACCCCCAAACACAGTCTCCCTTCCATGATGAATCCTGAAGACTGGTCCCACCTGGAGGGTCACCAGGAAGAGAGCTGGGGACACACACACAAGTCAGCACAGACCTCTAGAGGGGGCCCTTCAGAGCCCGTGCAACAATATAGCAACTGCTTCTCCCTGTTGTGTTTCTGGGAGGAGCCAGAAGGTAAATTCATGCTTGCAGCATTTTATCTCCTTTGCTGACATCTTCCCTAAAGGAGGAGGAATCTTGTGATCTTTAGGTTGGTCTGTGAGGCTCCACACAGGCCCACTGAGCCCAGCAGTTTCTGAAGGATGTGGCTTATGCATTAACTGGCTATGTCTTTCCCATTCTGACTCCTCAAACCCAACCATATATTTCTCCCATAAATTTACCCCCAGAATTGGTTTTATGTATGTTTTCCTCGGATCTTTAATGCAGAGGCAGCAGGGGTGAGGTCCAGGGGAAGTAGGCAGGGCTGGACAACTGCTTCAGGGCAGTATCAGAGGCTACAAGGATTGGGCATTAGACCTTCAGGCTTTCGTGAAGCCTTGCCTATTTTAGAAAATAAGATTGAATATTCCTAAACCTATCATGGGGAGCACCATTGCTGGGGCAAAAGATCCTAACCAGGTATGATTGGCAGAGCTGGTATTTTGAACTATGGGGGTTCAAAGTTGATATTCTCGAAAAGTGAGTTCATGGTCAGGAATCTTCAAGAGGCAGCCATCTTCAGGGTAGGGGTAGGGGTGGATCTTCAGTCACCATGAGGAGTAAGAATGTCCAAAGAGAAAAATGCCAAAGTGAGTCTCCTCACACATTCCAGAAAGACAGTCTGTTGACCCTGTGAGTGGCTCGGTAGATCTTCCATTTATCACCTGAATGGCAAATGGCAAGACGATAGTCTTGCCTTGGGCGATACGGCCTCGGAAAGTGAGCCTCACTGGGTTTGTTCTCCGGCACTTCAGTGGTAATAGATGCTGAAGGCATGCAGAATATAGAGTAGGGTGGTGAGGAAGGCGAAGAACTGGAGGAAGACAGGGAGAGTTAGAGAGGGTAGCACAGGGCCCACCCCAACCCCAACACCCAACCGCAGGGGCTCCAGATGCTCACTGGCCTTCTGCTCCCTGTGTGGCCTGAGAGCGCCAAGCGCCGGCCATCACTCTGTCCTTGGGGATCCTCTCTCCTTGGGCATTGCTAAGGCTATGTTTTCCAGTTGTTCTACCCCTGAACCTCCTCCAATTGCAACCTGGGCCTCTTTACCTGTCTCCCTGAGCCCATTTCCCATAGGAGCCTCTGTGCTCAGGCCACTCCCACAGCTTTGCTCACTAGCCCAGAGCTCTGCTATGAGCACCTGTCTGTGGATGTCTCAGGTTCTAGAGCTCTTATTGTCCCACACTGGTCTGTTAAAGCCACTAAGCTTAGTTAGCCCAAGGACCTCCATCCCCTCCAGCTACCAATGACAAAACCTGAGATCCTTCTCACTCCTTCCATCTAACTGTCATGGCCAAAGCCAGCCTCAAGGTTTGCTATCTGACTAACTCTTGGTACATCCCACCTCCTTTGTCTCAGCCACCATCATCCCTCAATAGGACTTCCCAGGTCCTCAGTTCATCTCCTGCCTACTCTGCCTCTCCTACTCTGTTCCATCAGAAAAACATGACCATAATAAAAATTGGGCTTAAAATGACACAGTGGCTCTCCTTAGGATGGATGTCACTCTACCCTTACTGTCCTTCTGTCCATTAACCCTCTGTTCTCATCTGTCACCCATCCATCCATCCATTCATTTGTCCATCCATTCATCTGTCCAGTCTGCTCATCCATCCATCTATCCACCCATCCACACACAATCCATCCACCCACCCACACACCATCCATCCACCCACCCACACACCATCCATCCACCCACCCACACACCATCCATCCACCCACCCACCCATCCATCCATCATCCATCCATCCATCCAACAACATATAACTTCAAAGCACAGTAGTGCTTCAAGAATAGCTATTGCTACAATAGTGAGCAAGACATGAAAAAGTTCTTGCCCTTAAGACATATGTGTTGACACACATTAATGCTGCACCCAGGTGACTAAGTCAGGAGAACAAAAAGTTTGAGGCCAGCCTGGCTACATAGGTGAGACACTGTCACAAATATGAATTAAGTAAATACATAATACCTGCCTCACAGAGGTTATTTTTTTTTTCAGCAAGAAGCCAGGTGGTGAGCAGGCCCTCTACAAATAGTCCAGATGGGGATAAGGCTGGGAGAGTACGAGGCTGAGAGGGCAAAGGGGGGTGTTGGGTGAGGGTTGTTGAAGGGTGGTGTTTGGGGGAAAAGGAGCATGGCTTGCTGATTTGAGATGTGGACAACCCTGCCTAGATCCTGAATGAGAGAGTATGTGTTTTTAGGGACAGTAACAAAGCCTGTGTGGTACAGGACTGATTGGGAGCCAGCAGCAGTGGCAAGTCTACCCGGAGACCATCTCTGGGACTATGAGTTTAATGAAATCTAAGAACCTTGACAAAAGGGATCAGGGAGGCTGGAAGGCTGCTGGGAAATGCTGTGGTCTTCCCGGGGGCTCACAGTATCTGTCTGGTACCCTGTTCTTACTCTGGAGACAGTGCCCCCCCCCCAATGCAGCCTTTGCCTGTGGCATGGAGTGAGAACTTATGAAGCCAAAGGGTGACTTGGGTCATTTCACACTCGGCATCCTGTCACTAGAGGGCATCATTTCACAGTAGAGAAAGAGACAGGTGGGCTCCAGAACAGATCAGGTGCCACCACCTGGGCATCAGGCTCTTTCAACAATTTATTGTGCCCCTCTTGCCTTGACTTCCATTACTTAGCAATGACATTTCTGTGAACTTCTGTCATTGAAACAAAAGGACCCAGAATAGCTGACTGTGCTCAGCAACTCGGGCTCCATTGCAAGGCAGCTGGACCTCTTAGCAGACGCCAACAAGAAAAGAAAAATGTGGTTTTATTTATCTGGGGAAAGAACAAGATTTTGATGACTTTGGAGAGCAAGGCTGAGTGGGATAAACACAAGACAAGAGGTGGTCCTTGAAGTTTGGATGCATGCACACACATACACTGTCCTTCCTTCAGTCTCCTGCAGCTTGACACAACTGCACAAAACACTCATGACAGCACCGAACGGCACGTAATAAATGCCCTCCATGCACATGTCTGTGTCATTGCCATACACATGCAGCTACTCACTGATGCTGCAGTATTGATGTAGTATTCATTTAGGTTGCTGCTTTCAGAAATGATAGTGGCGTGTGCTTGCAGGACAGCGGCACTCATGTACAGGATGCCTGTGGTTCCATGGTACAGACTGTCCTGGAAATTCAGAGCAGAGGCAGGAGCCAATGTTATTCTATACAGCAGGGAAGAGGGGGAGAGAGAATCAAACCCATCCCCTACTGCCCTAACTAGGAAGGTAACGGAGAAAAATACAAGCAAAGGTTTACAAATGTTTTCACTTTGCATTAGTAATCAACACATTAAAATCAGAAGCCTTGGTTTCCTAGGAATCTATTCCCAGTAGGATCTCTGATCCCAGGACATCCATTCTCCCTCCCAGCCGGGAGAAGCCATTGTCCTTTCAAACCCAGAACACCAGTCCAGGGGGTGCCACCCTCTGGTTCTTACCAGGACCTTCCAGGACTCAAATCGTTTGTAAAACCCCAACAAGTAGGACAGCAGGAACATCAGGGAGATGAGAAACGAGGTGAGTGACACATACAGCACCCATCCGTGCAGCAAAGGTCTTGCTACGTGTGTGGCAGCCACCAGAGTCCAGACCAAGAACCCAAACACCTGTAAGAAGAGAAGAGCACGTAGGGGCTCTGTCTGTGTCTTAGGTAGGCCTTCGACTATTGTGAAGGGACACCATGACAATGGCAACTCTTACAAGGAACACATTCAGAGGTTCAGTCAATTATCATCCTGGCAGGGAACATGAGGGCGTGCAGGCAGAGGCCGTGCTGGAGCTGAGACCGCTACATCTTGCAAGCAACAGGAAATCAACTAACTAGGCAGTACCCTGAGTCTATGAAACCTCAAAGCCTGCCCCCACAGTGACCCACTTCCTGCAGAAGGCATGGCCCAGATTAAAGGTGTGCCCTCCAGCCTCAAGGTCTAGATTAAAGGTGTGTGTTATCCAGTCTCCTCCAACAAGGCCACACCTTCTAATAGTGCCACTCCCTATGAGTTTATGGGGGCCAAATACATTCAAACTACCACAGTTTGCTTGGGTGTGGGTGGAGGGGTCCCTTTGCAGGGCTTCCCTGGCTTAAAGCTGAGCTGAGGGTCAGAAAGTGGGCTGAGAGGAATTTGTACTCAACCCTAACAACCAGAACCCACATCCAGAACCCACTCTCCTGAGTTATTCTACACATGTGCACCACAGCATGTATCTGTGTGCACACAGAGGAAGGCTGGACTCTCTGGAATATGGCCAAATCCAATCCTGTAAAATTAAAGGCGGTGACCAGCCTTGCAAAAGGAGAGACCTCTAGTCAAGTCTTTTAGCCTAAGAAATGTTGATAAGTAGTTTTAAAGACTATATGAACAAGTTGTCAATATCTAAAACAGGACTTTTCACATAAAAAAAACTACAATTTTTTTTCTTGAGAAATCCACGACTTAGTGACTCAGAGAAATACAGAATGAATTGTGACTGCACAGCCAGGGCTGTGGTGAGTGATGCAGGGCTGTGGTGGGAGGGGTCAGGGCTGTGGTAGGAGCTAGGGCTGTGGTGGGAGGATCCAGGGCTGTGGTGGGAGCCAGGGCTGTGGTGAGAGGAGCCAGGGCTGTGGTGAGTGATGCAGGACTATGGTGGGAGGGGTCAGGGCTGTGGTGGGGGGAGTCAGGGCTGTGGTGGGAGGATCCAGGGCTGTGGTGGGGAAGTCAGGGCTATGGTGGGAGGAGTCAGGGCTGTGGTGGGAGGAGTCAGGGCTGTGGTGGGAGCCAGGGCTGTGGTGGTAGGAGCCAGGGCTGTGGTGGGGGGAGTCAGGGCTGTGGTGGGAGGAGCCAGGGCTGTGGTGGGTGATTCCCTGCTATGGTGGGTGATCTCAGGCTGTGGTGGTGGGAGCCAGGGCTGTGGTGAGAGGAGCCAGGGCTGTGGTGAGTGATGCAGGACTATGGTGGGAGGGGTCAGGGCTGTGGTGGGGGGAGTCAGGGCTGTGGTGGGAGGAGCCAGGGCTGTGGTGGGGAAGTCAGGGCTATGGTGGGAGGAGTCAGGGCTGTGGTGGGAGGAGTCAGGGCTGTGGTGGGAGGAGTCAGGGCTGTGGTGGTAGGAGCTAGGGCTGTGGTGGGAGCCAGGGCTGTGGTGGGAGGAGCCAGGGCTGTGGTGGGGGGAGTCAGGGCTGTGGTGGGAGGAGCCAGGGCTGTGGTGGGTGATTCCCTGCTATGGTGGGTGATCTCAGGCTGTGGTGGGGGGAGCCAGGGCTGTGGTGGGAGGAGTCAGGGCTGTGGTGAGTGATGCAGGACTATGGTGGGAGGGGTCAGGGCTGTGGTGGGGGGAGTCAGGGCTGTGGTGGGATCCAGGGCTGTGGTGGGGGGAGTCAGGGCTGTGGTGGGGGGAGTCAGGGCTGTGGTGGGAGGAGCCAGGGCTGTGGTGGGTGATTCCCTGCTATGGTGGGTGATCTCAGGCTGTGGTGGGGGAGCCAGGGCTGTCTGCAATGGGGGATCTCCGGCTATGGCAGGTTCACTTGAGTCCAGTCCACGCAGACTACATGCTTTTCTTGGTTTACCTCATTTTCTGAGCAGATCTCCTTCCAGGTGTCTCTTTGGTGGGTCCCTGAAGTGCCCTTGGATCTCCATCTCCTCACTTTCATTAAAATGGTGCCTTTTGTTTTATGTGTATGGGTGTTTTACGTGCATGCTGTCAGTGTGCTATGTTTGTAGTGCCCTCAGAGAACAGAAGAGAATGTTGGATGGTGGGGGATGTCCTTCTGTATATATGTTTCTCTTATTGGTTAATGAATAAAACACCATTCAGCCAAAGAGGCAGAGAGACAGGCGGGACTAGGAGACAAGGAGAATTCTGGGAAAGGTAGCCAGTGTTAACCTCGGAACCATCCCTCTCCTGCTAAACTGTGCTTTTAAGGAGAACACTGACTTGTGACATCAGGAACTTGTCTCTGTCCTTCTCTGTCTGTGACCTTCAATACCACACATGCACCTGTCCACTGGATGCCTCTTTAGAACTCTATAGGGCTGACTCACTTAGGGACTCACTCACTTCTGTCTAGTTCAGCTGAAAACTACACTGCCTTCCGGCTCTGCGTCTCCCAGCACATCCCCCCACCTTCAGGAACTAGCTTGGCCTACAGCCAAGCAGCATACAGATATGGATATGGCCACTCCAGCTATCCTTGTAAGATTTCATTACTGTCACCTTGAAGAAAAGTACTTTTGCCTTAGAGAATCCTGGGCTCTTAAGGAGAAGACAGGATGGGTTGGGCGAGAAGCTGTCCACAGGCGAGGACTGAAAGCATGGCTCTCACAGGGTGGGACCAGCTCCAGTGTCCTGGCCGCTGCTCAAAACCTCTTGGTGAAGATGCTGAGAACAAGCGACTGTTGTACTCACCCCTAAATGAGACATTTACATCACCTGCTTCAGGGCTCAAAGATGGTGGATGTGGGGTGCAGAAGAAATGTAGGAGCTGGAGGGAGGGGAGTGTTGTGAACTGTGGTCTTCCAGACATGATCCTGTCATTGCAGTCATGAATGCATACCACCGTGATTGCCTGCACAAGACCTACACAACCGTGGCCCAAGCACTCTCTGCCGTGGACAGGGAAGCGACTCATGATGGTCTATTCTAGACCATGGAGCTACTAGCAGGTAATGGCTGCTGGGGGTGGGGGTGGGGCGGCATTTTCATCAGTGTTCCGGTGAATACTCCTCCCACCCATGCTTCTGCAATTGAACTCCGTTAGTGACCCACAACTAAATAAAGTGTAGAAGGGAAAGTGTTTGGGAAGATGACCAGTAGGCGTGGAGGGGGAAATGACAAGAGGGCAATGTGGGGCGAATGCAGCCAAAATACACTGCATGTGAGTATGACATTTCCCTAAAATTTAAAATTTAATTTAATTTAGCTCTGGGGAAAAATTTCCCCCACTTTCAACAGTCAATGTCCAAGTGAGGTTTTGGAAGTTCTGGGCCGCATCCGGAAGTGTCTATGGTGAACAGTGTTGACTTGTCATAGCGAAAGGGTGTCTGGGGCCAGAGGCCTGTCCTGTGCCCCTGCTGGGGCCCCCATTAGTGAAACCACAGGGAGAGGATAGCACTCCAAGGCACATGACAAGTGTCCTTCCTGCTGAGCTGAAGGAAATGCACAAAGGTACTGGTGTCCCATCAACACCCAGACCGAGCTGGCTCTTAGTGGGAATACCATTTGGGGCTTGTAAAACCAGCACTTACACCAGGACACACTTTAGACCTTGGAGGGCAATGAGGGTCTGTGTTGCTGACTATAAACCCAGGAAAGGGCCTGGAACAAAGCATATATAAGGGTGAGGAGTGTTGGGGTACACTGTCTGAATGAATCTATAAGCAAACACCCCCCCAACAACAGCTCCAGAATAGGTCAGCTGGGAGAGCAGTAGACTGAGCACCCCCTCCTCACATTCACTAGGAGCTTCACAGTTTGTAAAAATCTATCCGCTCAGGTGGCCTCATGTAATCTATTGTTCAGCTCTCGGCCCACCTCTGTCAGGCCATCAGCCAGACTGCCTCTGTCCCTCTGCCCCTGTTGGACTCCCCAACCCCTTCTTGCCATCAGAAGCTACCTTGGTCATCATCTCTGTGTGTCCATTATTTGTCCTTGTGAATTTATTTAGTCACCACCACTGTCTCTAAGGAGGCTCTGAGGTCTGAGGCCTCACAGGCAGTGTGGCATGGGGATTGGACATAGCGAGGGCATTTGTGTGGCTGTCCTCCAAACAAAGTTTCATGCTGAGGGTAGGGGAGCTAGATGCTTCCAGAAAGTACCAGAGATTGGTCGACTAGGGCCACGGCGAGAGCCCTGGTACAGTTAAAGGCCCCAGTGGGACTCTCAAGTCGCAGAACCAGAGGGCCCATTTGGACTTTGTCCTCTGGTTTCCAGCCAAGGATAGGAACCCCTGTTCCTATTATTCACTTTTACACCAGTCAAAGACCTCTGAGCCTGCGGAATCTACTCAAGTTACACGGAAATTTTTTTTTTGAAATAGCCCTGCTGTAAAATTGCAATGCAGAGGAATGTTGTTTGTCTCTTACTCCCACGCCCCTCTGCTTTCTAAACTGCAGATAGGACAGGGGCCAGAGACCAGCTCCTGGTGAGTTAAAGCCCAGAGGTGTTTGGTGTCTCACCTCTACCCCAAGAAGTCTGGGTTGGGAACTTGATTTTCTACTTCTTTTTAAAAGCTCGTATTTAACTTCACAGATTCTCTTGGCTGCCTACACTGCTCTCCCATTTTAGCTCCCACTTTACATTTCTCAAGAGCAGGGCATAGTTTTAGCTGGTGTGACCTTCCTCCCACCATGCATGCTCGTCACGCATGTGTGCACACACACACATGCACGGATATTATATCGCAATTAGACATTAGAGTAAGTGTGCCTCAAGTACAACCCTGGCAGGGATTTTTATTATGAAGAGAACGTGTTTTCCTCATAGATATCCTTCCCAAAGGACAAAACTCAAAGGCCCTTTTAAGGTAGCTCATGCCATTAATTCCAGCACTCAGGAGGCAGAGACAACTGGATCTCTGAGTATGAGATCAGTCTGGTCTACATAGAAAGTTCCAAGAGGGCTAGAGCTGCAT